AAGTGGTTCACTTCAATGCCTGAGTAGAAAATTAATACCTCAAATCAATTACCTTGGCATACCATAGCAATTTCCAATTAGGAGAGGAAATGGGTTAGGGGATCCATTTTGAAGCAGCAACAAAACTATGAAATATCTACAATTAACTTAAGAAGAAATGTGTGCGATCTGTGCATTAAAACAATTTTAAACCATGACAATTTAGGGGCAGGGCAGAATAACTTGAATATATGTGGAAATATCTGCCATATTCCTAGGTTGGAATTATACATATTATGCAGGTGATAATTCTACCCAGAGTATTCTATAAATTAAATGCTGCATAATCAAATTCTCAATTTTTTTGGAACTTGACAAATATACTCTAAATGCATTCAAAAACATGGAAAATACAGAATATAATCTCTGCATCTTGCCATAATTTTTTTTTAATTAATTTATTTTTTTAGTTTTCGGCGGACACAACATCTTTGTTTGTATGTGGTGCTGAGGATCAAACCCGGGCCGCACGCATGCCAGGCGAGCACGCTACCGCTTGAGCCACATCCCCAACCCCTCTTGCCATAATTCTAAACAGCACAGACAACTTCTTTCAACAGTCTCAATGTACTGTCTTACATGTGGACACATTTTTGGAAAAGCATATTCTGTAATCAGAGTCAATTCCAACTCTGAAGGTTCAGGTCACGTGCATGACCTTGACTATGTGATTTACCCTCCCTAAGTCTACATTCTCTTTTACAAAATGGGGAGAATATTAATACCTCATAAATGTGAGGATTAAATCCAATCATCATATATGAGTGCTTTTGAATAATATTTGGTGCACAGTGAATCCCAACAACATTTATACAAATATATGATAGCATATGTGTACTTGTAAAATACGCTGTGAGCTTTTTTTTTTTTTAACTTTATATTCCATGATGTAGATCTTTACAAGTCAAAGCATATGTTTTTATTATCTAATGCTTAACCTGACACCAACACATAACTATGTGCTCAGAATACGGTTATCATATGAATAAATGAAGAAATTAATCTGGCTTGTCTTTTTACATTTGCCACTGGTTGCAATCGTTGCCTTGGTTTCCAGCATATGGGTGTAATGTTCAAAAAATTGAAAGCAAAATTATACATATCCCTTAATGGAGATGCAGATAGACTTTGAACTTAAAGTAATTCCAAATGAGTTAAACATTTCCACATCTGTATAGCTTGTGAGCAAGTATACCTGAAGGTCATTTCAATGTGAATTCCTTGAGTTTTTCCATTTGGGGGAGGATGAAATTCGTTGTTTTGAGCACTCCTCCACCAGGAGGCTGCTGGGGGGAAGATCCCTCAGCTGGAGAGAGCCTGGCAGAGTGCCACTTCTCAGGAACCTTTACTGGTTTGACTCCTTTCTACTTTTCCAGGAGAAAAATGACAACTGTTCTTTGTGGGAAATGACCCCCAAGTAAGAAATAAATGCAGTGAAATTTTCTATTCAGGAATGTGGTTCAGGAGAAAGCGTGAGACCCAAAGAGCCTTTCTGTGTTGGAAATATGATGATTCTGAGGTCTTCACACTGATGTGTCAAAAACAAATTACCAACCCGAGTGGTGGCATGTGCCTGTAATCCCAATAGATCAGGAAGCTGAGGCAGGAGGATCACAAGTTCAAAGCCAGCCTCAGCAATTCAGTGAGATCCTGTCTCTAAATAAAATACAAAATATGGCTGGGGATAGGGCTCAGTGGTTGAGTCCACCTGAGTTCAATCCCCAGTACTCCCACCCCCCCAAAATAGTATTACCCAACATTGGTGGCACATGCCGGTAATCCCAGCAATTTAGGAGGCTGAGACTAGAGGATTGCACATTCAAAGCCAGTCTCAGCAATTTAGCAACACCCTCAGCAACTTAGCAAGACCCTGTCTCAAAAAAGCAAAAGGACTGGGAATGTAGCTCAGTGGTAAAGCCCCTTTGGGTTCAATCTCCAGTACAAAAAAAAATTGTCCCCTACAACCCATTTCCCACCAACTACTCCAGCAGCAGGGTTTTAGAGCAGGCCCACCCTAATATTACAGGCTGAGTCAAGATACAAGTGAGGCCCCTAGTCCATATCACATCTCCCTTCTCCTCCCACCTCCATCAACATCCTCCATCAGAGGGTTCTTCCAGGCATATCTGAATGCAGACAACCAGTTCACCTGTCTGGCTCAATGCCCTCCCACCTCACTCAACAGACTCCCTGGCCACCTCTCCGGGGTAGAAATGCACATACCAGCAGTCAGGAGAACAGGCAACAGGCCTGTGTAGGCCCTAGGAGGTAGAATAGTGAGGTGCTATAGGTAGGCAAGTCTCCTTGGCTCCATAGACTCTCTGTAAGAACCTGTCTTCCTGCTCCAAGATGACCCCAGTCTACATTAGGCAGAAGTCCAGCCAGAGCTCCTCTACATCAGGAGTTCTTACCTGGTGATGGTTTGGCAGCCCAGAGAACATTTGCCAATGAATGAAGATATTTCTGCTTGTCACAACAGGGGAGGAGAGGATGTTATTGGTATCTAGTGGATGGAGGCCACTACTGAATGTCCTACAGCCCACACCACCCCCTTCATAAAAGAATTTTCCAGTATCAAAGGTTAACAGTGTCTCAGATGAGGCACACTATTACGTGCATGAGCAGGGAGGCCAAGGGTCTGGAGGTTCAGACCCTGACTCTGCCATAACCTTGTTCTGAAACCAATTATTTTATTTCTCACTTGTAAAATGGAGTTAACATTATCATTAATATGGGTCATTGTGAAAAATAAAAGTGGCCTCATGTGTAAATGTCTGACACACAGTAGGTGCTCAAAAAATATAGATGTTCCTTAAGTGGAGAAAAAAAAAAAGTTGGTGTTCCTATATGTCTCCTTATGCACCAATTAGAAGTCTTGGTGTTTGAAAGAGAAGATTTGGACCAGGTAAGCTATAGAATCTTGTATTATTTCAGAATTACTGTGGATAAAAGATGAAGAGAAAAATATAAATGCACAGGAATATTGTCCTAGAAAAAAATCAGTGAGAAAAATAAGTGATAAAAGAAATTCTTCTGGAAAGTTTTTCCCTATTCCACAAAGGATTCTCCATGTCAAAGCATCATCCCTACCCCTTGTCTTTTATCTACACACCCCACTCAACCCCTGTAGGAAAATCCTGCTGTCCTGAGTTTAGGACAATCTATCAGAGGTTACATACTGCCATCTGGTGGCCAAATTGGTAAAGGCATCTTTGTCCATTGGTTGGAGTGTTCACAGAATATGAACAAAGCAATCTTTTTAAGCAGTATTCTTTTTTTTTGTCTTTTTTAATTTTTTACTTTTATTTTAATTTATTATGTATGACAGCAGAATGAATTACAATTCATATTACACATATAGAGCACAAATTTTCATTTCTCTGGTTGTACACAAAGAAGAGTCACCATTCATGTCTTTATACATGTACTTAGGGTAATAATGTCCCTCTCATTCCACTGTCCTTCCTACCCCCATTCCCCCTCCCTTCCCCTCTCTCCACTTTGCTCTATCTAGAGTTGGTCTAATTTAAGCAGTATTCCAGGAACTACAGGGAATATGAAGATGGACTACCCACACTCCTTCCCAGAATAAGACAGAGACATTATAACTTCTGTGAAGCTGACACTAACTCAGGTCCCCTTCAAACCTGTTAAATATATGTTCAGATGGGATAGGGATTCTCTATTTCATAAAATAAAAAAACTAACCCTTCTTGCTCAAACAAGAAACTCATGTAAAGTTCCATGAGTTCCATAGTGGACTCATGTAAAGCTTTAATCATCCACACTCAACCAAGGAGGCTCATTTACAACTCTTAGCTATAAAGCAATGTCCAAACGTGCTCAAAAATTCTTTTTCTGACTTTGTCAGCAAAATGTTCCCAACTGTCCTTCACTCTTCTGTTTTCTTTTGCAATTCTCCTACTCAGGCAACTCTTTGGGAGGCAATTCTCTCTTTGTTTTTTGTACCAGAGATTGAACCAAAGGGGCTTAACCACTGAACATATCTCCAGCCCTTTTTATATTTTATTTAGAGCCAGGGTCTTGCTGAGGCGCTGAGGCTGGCTTTGAACTCACGATCCTCCTGCGTCAGCCTTCCAAACCACTGGGATTACAGGGTGTGGCACCGTGCCAGGCCAGTCATTTTTATTTTGAGACAGGACCTCACTAATTTGCTGAGGCTAGCCTTGAACTTGTGATCCTCCTGCCCAGGCTCCTGAGGGGCTGGGATTATAGGCATGCACCACCTCTACTTGTCCTTAACAAAAAGCACTGGGGGAGGGGGTGTTGAAAGAAGAGGAGATTCCCACAAATTAACAGGAGGCTGGAGGATTCGCCTGGGGCTAGGCAGGAGCCTGAGAGGCTCAGACCCTGGCCCTGAGGGCAGTAACCCATCTTACTTTGCTTGTGCATCCTTCACTCATAATAAAACACTTTTCTAAACCTGGGTCCTGTATCCACACCTGACAGGGGCATGAATGTTCAGAAGTCTAAACACTGAAAGCTGTCACTGCAGCTGGGGGCCCGACTGGTACACCCAGACCCACCTCTGCCCCCACCTTCCAGAAGCTATTCTCCAATAGAGAAGCCAAGACAGGCCACAAAGAACTGAACAGAATATGGAAAATACCCTGATAGGCTTCCAGATGTTTCTTGACCACCTTCACTGTGTACACAAAAATGTGACAAACATTCAAGGAAAGAGAAAATCCTCCTGTCCACAAAGTGTTGAGCTCCTGCAGGCTTCCAAAACAGGTCGAATCATGGAAGGTCTTGCTAAAGAGTTTGGATTTTTAATCCTGTGCGCAAGAAGGGCTGCCAAATGTTTTGTGTGTGTGTGTTCTTTTTTTTTTTTTTTTTTTGCTTCTGGGACTAAAAGGACCCAATTGTAGAGGAGGATAAGACTCATGGTTTCAGAGATCTTAGTCCATAGAAGGCTAGCTCCATGATAGAGCTCTTACCTTGAAGCCCTGGGTTTGATCCCTAGCTCCATTCCTCAGGGCTTGAAGTAAGGTAGAACATCATGGCATAATGGTGTGGCAGAGGGACAAGGCTCACAAGGGGATCAGAAAGCAGAGACTCCACTCTCCAGATACAAAATATATGCCCCATAGCCACACCCTCAATGCCTCGCCTCCTCCAGCCACCCTCCTGGGCTTCTGCCTCTCCTCCTCATTCTTTCCCAGCCTCTTTCTCCCTTTTCCCTATCTCTAAAAGCTGAAGTGCCTCAGACCTCCCCTGGAGCTGTCACCTCCATCCCCCGCAACACGAATAACCTCGAACTGCCCGCTTCTCTCCCTCCGCATTTCTGAACCGTAATCAGGAGTTTCCTTTCTCCAGACTCGCTCCTTCCCCAGAAACCCTATTTTGTATAAACCAATGAACAACTTGCACAGCCCTGAGCGCTTCTCCCCTGCACTCCTCCGCGACTTTCAGAGACAAAGCAGAGTCCCGCCATTTCTGGGCACTCTGCTGTTAACACTCAGGTCCCGCAGTGTCCAACCGAAACCCAACCAGGGCCACGGTTTTAAGATCAGATCTTCCACAAGATTTGAGACGTAAAATGAAGGTGAGATTAATTTTGGTAATACATTTTAACTTACCTAACATAGTCAGAATAGTATCATTTCAACATGTAATCAATATTTGAATAGGTTTCAACTTGTAATCAATTTTGGGGGGGAGAAGGGGAGTCCTGGGAGTTGAGCCCAGGGTGCTTAACCACAGAGCCACACCCTAGTGTGTCACTAAACTGCATAGGGCCTCGATAAATTGCTGAGGCTGGTCTCTAACTTGTGATCCTCCTGTCTCAGCCTCTCAAGAGGCTGGGATTATAGGCATGAGCCACCATGCCTGGCATGAAATCAATATTTTAAAAACCATCCATGTGATATTTTATCTTCTGAAATCTGTACTAAGTCGTTGACACTTACAGCGTCTCTCAGTTCAGACCAGCCACATTTCAAGTGCTCACAGCCAGCGGGCAGCTTTAGATCGCACAGCTAGAAACAGGCAAACTGCTTCTCAGTCTGGATTATCGTGATCATCTGCAGAATTCCGCTCTTGCTCTCCTGAAGGCATTTTCCCACACAGCAGCTAGAGTGAAGCTGCCAGATCATGTCACTTCCCTTTTCAAAACTTTCAGTGGTTTCCCACCAACTCTGAGAATAAACTTAGGGTCCTCTCCCTGGACTACACGACTACTATGCCTAGTAGCCAGACCCCTCTCCTTCCTCACCACCTATTACTCTGTCCCTCCCTTGGCTGCTTCACTGCCTGGTCCCACCCCTTCTTGCTGCCAGCCTGCCAAATGAGCCCCCAGCCCAGAACCTCCACCCCAGAGCTATTCCCTCCACCCAGAACATTCTTCCCACAATCTCAGCCTGTGCACCACCCGCTTCTCCTCATCCTGACCCAGCAGCAGTCCCTTCAGATCCTGGCAGGTGCATGCTGTGAGGGCTGCAGGGAGCTCAGGGAGGACTGGCTATCTTGGGCCCTCTCAGCCCAGATGTGCCATCCTCCCCTCCCTACACAAGTGGAGAGGACACTAGGATCTCAGCCAATTTCCTCAGGCTGTGCCTGGGAAGGAGCACAGTCCTTATCAGAGTCCCCAGATGTACTCAAGTATCTGCCCCCAGTCTGGGTGGCATAATGGGGACTGGGTGCAGGAACTTTTCAACTTCTCCTCTGATTTCTCCAGCCCAGATCTGCTGAGATCATAGTCTTGAAAGCCTTCAAGAACCCAGCTAGGGCTGGGGATGTGGCTCAAGCGGTAGCGCGCTCGTCTGGCATGCGTGCGGCCCGGGTTCGATCCTCAGCACCACATTACCAACAAAGATGTTGTGTCTGCCGGTAACTAAAAAAAAAATAAAATAAATTTTAAAAAAAGATTCCAGCTTGAACATGATGGCACATACCTGTAATCCCAGCCATTCTGGAGGCTGAGGCAGGAGGATTGCAAATTCCATGCCCGCCTCAGCAACTTAATGAGATTCTATCCCAAATTTTTAATTTTTTTTTAAAAAGGGCTGGGGAGATAGCACAATGGTAGAGCACTCCTGGATTCAACTCCCAGTACAAAGAAAAGGAGGGAAGGAAGGAAGTTAGTTTTCTGTTTTGCATTTCCATTTAAACACTGAGTATACAGCCAGTCATGGCAGCATGCACCTGTGATCCCAGCAATTTGGATGACTGAGGCAAAAGGATCTCAAGTTCAAGGCCAGCCTTGGCAACTAAGCAAGACCCTGTCTCAAAGTACAAAATACAAAAGGAATGAAGCTCAATCATAAAGCAACCCTGGGTTCAATTCCCAGGACTAGAGGGCAGGGTGGAACTGAGTACCCTCATGCATCTTTCCCTTGGATTTCTGGATCCTTTTTTTTTCTCCTTGTGGTGCTAGGGGTTGAACCCAGGTCCTTGTACATGCAAGGCAAGCACTCTACCAATTAAGCTATGTCCCCAGCCCCCATTCTGGATCCTATTCTAAAGGAATGAGATAGTTTACCAGCCAGGCGCAAGAGGAGCCACAGGATGTAGGACACTGTGGCCTTGGGAATGGGAGAGGTAGAATTCAGCATTATTATCCCACCACTTCTTGATAAGTATTTCTATTTAGAAGTATTTATCATGCCTCATAATAAAATGAAAGAGGAATGCTAAAAATGATCCAGAATACCATGGGACCACACTGCTGTGTGTTACAGAATTGTTTCTTGTTGCACAGCCTGTGACCTCTCAGTGAGGTAGATGTACAGATGCAGAAGGGCAGGCCCTGAGCCTTCTGGTTCCCTGCAGCTCTACCTGCTCCAGTCTCCTGACTCCTAGATTCAAGCCAATCGGCATCTGCAGATAAACACAGGGACAGCAGGAGGGCCTGCACCGGAGGCTGACCCAGGGACACATGTGTTCATACATCTAGGTGAGATTATCGCTGATCCCCACCTTGCCTGTACATTTGTTTATTGCAGCTTTATATGTTCAAAATCTCTTATACTTCTTTGATTAAATTCTAATTGCCATTTTGGGGGTCTTGGAAGCACCACCACAGAATCCTGGGGCTCCTGGCTACCCAGTTAAAAACCACCCGCTGAAAACATCAACAGTACTTATCTCCAGGTGGTGAGATCTTTGTTTTCTTTGTCGCGCTTATCTTTATTTTCTAAATAAAATGAGCCAGTGCAACTTGTCTTACTTTGTTTGAGTGGAAAGAAATCAATGTTGGAAGGACTTTTGACCCTGTGGTCCTATTGCTCTCTGCCCTCTTGTGTACTTTGTTCTCTTGCCACTGAGTGTTTGCCTGATTTTGTAAAGGGGGTCAGAAAGGCTTCAGAGAGTAAAGCTCACACACCGTTTTCCAGGTTGAGTGGTGTGGGAACATAGAGAGTGTGGCAATAATCACAGCTTGAGTGACTCCAAGAGGATAATTGAAAGAACTTCCTCAGTAAATGAAAGGCAACACTGATAGTTATTTTATGGAGACAGAATGAGTTTTAAAAGGGCAAAAGGGGGCTTGTTCAGTGGTAGAGCTTATGCATGAGGCCCTGGGTTCAATCCCCAGCACAAACAAATAGTATTAAAAAGGAATGAACAGAGACAACACGCAGGAAGCCCTGTGCACCACAAAGAGGTCACCAACACAGCAAGTAGCATCAACCAGCACTGAAGGGCTGTCTTCCCACTTCCGGTTCCAGCTCATAATCACCAAGTCAGGCATTCCTAAAGCCCTTTAACCACCACCGTCCCTCCCCAGCAACCAACTAAGATCTCTGAGCTGGGCCAAGTTCTCTATTATCAGAATCACTGGCCCACCACCTGAACAGGCTGTGGCCCCAGCCATGCAGGCCTAAATTCAGACATTTACAAATGTGTTTTGTGGAACAGAGAATTCAGAAGCATCTTAGGAGTGTCCAGCCATGAATAGCATGAGGACAGGGTAGCTGGTCTCTGAAAGCCCCTCTGCTACCATCTTTCACCACATGGGATCCAACCTCTGAGAGTTATAAAATGTTCCTTGCCTGTTATCTTCACTGATTTAGTAGCTTGTGTACACATTTCCCAACCACATGTGAGAACACTGGACAGGTGCCATTTTGCTTTAAAATTCAACAGACATATAACAGTGAAAGCTTAGGATTGTGACAACCCCTCTTCTCATCCCCACTCTCTCTCTCTTTCAATCTCTCTGGTACTAGGAACTGAACCCATGAACGCTCTACCGCTGAACTACACCCCAGCCTTTTTTTTTTTTTGAGACAGGGTCTCCCTAATTTGCCCAGGCTGGCCTTGAACTTGTGATCTTCCTACCTCAGCCTCTCAAATCATTGGGATTACAGGCGTGTACCACTATGCCTGGATCATGCCCTTTCTCTAACCCACCTCTCCCTCAACTAGTGTGACCCTAGAATCTCAGGTTAGAAAAAAAAAAAACTCGGTAGTAGTCTCCTTGTTTAGCTTCCCACTTGATGCTTGAATCATTTGAAAACTGGTCATCTCCGCTAGGACCTGTCCCACCCACCCCAGCCCCAGTAGCAGGCACTCCCAAGGTACTTCTTTTTTAGACAGTTATATGTTAAAAGTTTTCCTTTATGTGGAACCAAATACATAGCTTCCCAACTCTGCAATTCCTAAATCCAAAACGTCCTAAAATCTGAAAGTTTTTTAAGTCTTTTGATAGTAAATCCAATTCTGAACTGATCGGAGGCTATTTATCATTGTCATTTACCTCATCATGATTTATTGCAGAAATATCAATATGTTTGACTATGGATCCAATTGAAATGTTACATAGTCTATATGTACAATATCATCTTTCCAAACATTGAAAAATTGCAGTGCTTTGGAAAAGAGATTATGGACCTGAACCTGCTTCTCTAAATATGATGTTTAGGTATTCAATTTATTTTTTCCAACTGATCTATCTTTGATTAGAGAGGCAAATTAAACTCTTCTACTCCTTGTTTGCTCACCTGTTTTTTCTGTAATTTTAGATTCATAAATATTGTGCTTTGGAATTTGATATATAGATATCATAACTAGAATCCTTATTGTGATTCCCATTATAAAGTGCTTTTCTTCATCTCCACCATATGTGATATTAAAATTATGACCAGCGCTGGAGGTGGAGGTCAGAGGTAAAGCGCATGCTTTGCATGCGCAAGGCCCAAGCTTTAATCTCTAGCACCTCAAAAGAAAAAAGGAAAAACAAAAACAACAACAATAAAAACAATATGACCTGCGGCCTTTTTCTCTTTCTTTCTTTCTTTCTTTTCTCAACGTTTCTGAAAACACTTTGTCTTAAGCAGCCACTTGTCTGAGCACAGGATAAAGGTGGGTGCTGCCTAGAGATTCAATCTGATTATCTTTTTTTTTTTTCTCTTAAGAGGTGAATTAATCTTGCTTCAACATCTAGTGATATGTCAAATATAACAGCCTTAGTTCTGTCATATTAACATTGTTATACTTTCTGTTTTTGCAGTTTTAAAAAGCTATCACTAGCCAGGTACAGTGGCAAATATCTATAATCGGTGATTCAGAGGGCTGAGGCAGAAGGATCACAAGTTTGAGGCCAGCCTCAGCAATTTAGCCAAGCCCTAAGCAATTTGAGACCCTGTCTCAAAATAAAAAAATAAGAGCTGAGGATGTAGTTCAGCAGTAAGGTACCCCTGGGTTCAATCTCCAGTACCAAATAAATAAAAAGCTATCACTATATAATCCATTTTCTTTGTTTCTATAAATAATTCTCAACTTTTGGCAAGTTTTTCTTTTTCTTCTAGCTATTACTTTTTATTTTATTTTGGGAGGTACCAGGGATTGAACCCAGGGACACTGTACCACTAATCGCCCCCATCCCCCGCCTGTCCTGGATATACATTCTTTGTGCAACACTTTTTTTCCTTGAAGATCTTTTAAAGTATCACACCATCTTCTGGCATTGAAAGTCACTGTACAAAACTGAGACCAGCCTGATTTTCTTCCCTATAAATGACTTGATCATTATCTTTGAAGTGTAATGACTTTACTAGAATGTAAGTATCTCTAAGGTGACCCTCCTGATAATTTCCCCTGATATACGGTATAATTAATTTCCCCTGATATATGGTATAATGTCTTTGTTATTCTAGAAAATTATATCTTTATTCCAGCTGTTCGTGTTTCTATCAAATTTTGATTTTCTGCTTTGGAGGCTTCAATTTTTTGGTGTGGAAGGGTACTGGGGATTGACCTCAGGAGCACTCAACCACTGAGTCACATCCCCACCCCTGTTTTGTATTGTATTTACGGACAGGGTCTCACTAATTGCTTAGTGCCTCGCTTTTGCTGAGGCCGGGTTTTGAATTCGCCATCCTCCTGCCTCAGCCTCTCAAGCTGCTGGGATTACAGGCTTGTGCCACTGCACCCATCTTGGCGGCTTCAATTTTGTAGGTGCTGAATCTTCTGCTCCTTCGTTAACTTCTCCCATTCTACTTTGCCTTTCTCATTTTCCCCCCAAGTCCATTACTAAATGTTTTTTAAAATTGTTATTTGTACTCCTTCTGTTTCCTCTTTATTTCCCTGATACTTTGTTCTTCCCAATTCTGCAGCCCCTGCTTCATCTCCTCCCATCATCCCAAAAGCTAGTCCGTTTGCTGTTTCTCTTCAACTTTTCTTCTTTTTTTTAATATTTTTTTAGTTGTAGGTGGACCCAATATCTTTATTTTATTTTTATGTGGTGCTGAGAACCGAACCCAGTGCCTCACGCATGCTAGGCGAGCGCGCTACCACTTGAGCCATATCCCCAGCCCTCAAATTTTCATTTAAAAAAAAAATGCAAATCTACAGAATCATTGGAAGAACAATAGAGAATCCACATACCTTTCACACAGGTTCAGCAATTACCATTTTGCCATATCTTTGCTGCCTCAATATACACAAACAATGCACATGTGCATTTTTCCAAACCATTTTAAAATGAGTTGCCAACATCATGACACTTCATGAAAATTTTAGCCTAAAATAAGAACATTCTCCTGTATTACTACCATCTTAGTCCATTTCAGTTGCTATAACAAGTTACCATAGAAGGGGTGGCTTATAAGCAACAGAAACTTACTTCTTACAGTTCCAGATAATGGGAAGTCCAAGACCAAGGCACTGGCAGATTTGATGTCTGACAAGGGCCACATTCTGGTTCGTAGATGTCACCTTCTTGTTGTATCTTCCATGGTGGGTGGGACAAGGTAGCTCTATGAGGTCTTTGTTATAAGGCCTCAAATTCCATGAGGCCCAGCATGATCCAAGATCCCACCTCCCATTACACTGGTGATTAGGTTTCAACAAATGAATTTTGAAGGAAAACAAAAACATTTAGATCATAGTAAACACAACACTAATTTAATTGTAATTCCATAATATCATCTAGTATAAAATACATATTCAGATTTCCCCAATTATCCCAAAAATGTTTTTTATATTTTTTTTCAATTCATCTTCAATTATATATCCATATGGTTGTATCTTTATTCTCTTTTAATCTTGAATAGACCCCCAACATTTATTACATTTAGAGGTTTTTAAAATATTTTTTAGTTGTTGATAGATCTTTATTTTATTTATTTATGCATGGTGCTGAGAATTGAATGCAGGGCCTCACACATGCCAGGCAAGTGCATTACCACTGAGCCTCAGCCCCAGCCCCACATTTAGTTTTTTTTTTTAGTACATGCCAGCTATTGTAAAATGACTTGTCATCTAGATTTATCTGGTTGCTTCTTTATATTTCATTTGTTTTGTTTTCCTACTATTTACATTTCCAATAAATGACCAGCTATTTCTAAAGACTTGGTTAGATTCAGCTTAAGAATTATGACTCTGATGATATTATGTACATCCCATCAGGAGGCAAGTAAAATTCAGCTGTCTTGCTGTTAGTAATTTCAAGTTGAATCACTCAGTTAAGCTGTGTAACTGCTGGTTTCTCTGATGTAAAGGTATATACCTTCCCTCTTTAACTACTAATTAAATAATAACCTATGTAGTAATCCTGTGTTACCATATCAACATCCTGTTCACCAATTACATTTCACCAGAGGATTTTAGTATCTATTGATGATCCTGACCTTAAATCAATGATCATATTAGGGGTTACAAAATGTGATTTACATTTTACATCTTCCTTCATAAAAACAAGCACTTTTTAAAAATATTTTTTAGTTGTACATGGACACACAATATCTTTATTTATTTTTATATAGTGCTGAGGATCGAACCCAGTGCCTCATACATGCAAGGCAAGCACACTACCACTGAGCCACAGCCCCAGCCTGAAACAAGCACTATTTTAAAAAATGTTTTTAGTTGTAGATGGACACAACACCTTTATTATCTTATTTCTTTATTTTTATGTGGTGCTGAGGATCAAGCCCAGTGCCTCACATGTTAGGCAAGTGCTCTACCACTGAGCTACAACCCCAGCCCCTGAATTCACTTTTTATTTATTTGGGGTTGGTACCAGGGATTGAACTCAGTTGCACTTGACTACTGAGCCACATCCCCCGACCTACTTTTTTTTTTTTTTTTTACTTAGAGACAGGGTCTCACTGACTTGCTTAGCACCTTGCTTTTGCTGAAGCTAGCTTTTTTTTTTTTTTTTATAGTTGTAGTTGGACACAATATCTTTATTTATTTATTTTTATGTGGAGCTGAGGATCAAACCCAGAGCCTGGCACGTGCTAGGCAAGCACTCTACCCCTGAGCCACAGCCCCAGTCCCTGAGGCTGGCTTTGAGCTTGAGATCCTCCTGCCTCAGCCTCCTGGGTTGCTGGGATTACAGGTGTGCACCACCATTCCTAGCTCCCTGCATTCACTTTTTAAAGTTCAATTGCATAATGCTTGGAGAGTTGTCACATAGTCCAGCATAAGATTTTTTAGTGAGTTCAGTTGTTGGAAGTCTTTGCCACTCTTTTCTTCTTTCTCCCTTTGAATGGATTCAATTTGATGTTATGCATCACTCATCATTGGATGGGCAAGTAATTTGCAAGCAGCTTTGCCAGATAGCCTTCCCGGGGAAGCAGTGTTTCCCCGATCACCATCCACCACAGACAGACTGCTTTACACAACACTGCTCACCTGGGATACTTTGTGGAGACCCACATGAGGAACTAATGATAGCACAAATTCTTGCCTACTCTTCCCATTCAGAGGTGGAGTCTATTCCTCCTGTCCTTCAAATCTGGGATGCCCTTACTAACTTGGTTGGCAAACAGAATGTGCTGAAAATATGACAAGGTGGAGCTTCCACACTAGGTCATAAGATACCTTGCAGTTTCAGCCCAGGCCACTTGAAACAATTGCTCTGGGGGACATCAGCTACCATATAAGAAGTCTGACTACCCTGAAACCACTGAGGAAACCCAAGCTGACCATGTGGAGAGGACACAGAGAGATGCCTGACAACCCAGCCACCGGACTGTAAGTGAAGCAGCTTCAGACGACTCATCCTCAGCCACCATCTAACAGTAACCACATGAGAAACTCCAAAGGCCACCAGCTAAAGCCTGTCACATCCCAGAACTGTGAAAGATAGCAATAAATTGATGTTTCAAGTCACCAAATTTGGCAATGGTTTGCTACACTGCAATGAATAATGGAAATGCCCATTTCTGTTGGTGGCATGACCCTAACTGGGCTCTGCCATCAGCCTTGCTCAGGCCAGCTCCCATAACTGTGGTTACAAAAGAGGGAGATCACTTTTGCACTGGAGGTGACATCCTCCACCTTGTGGAGGTGTATATATTCCTGGAAATTTCCAACATCTGCCCCTGGGAGACCTCTCATTCTGTTCCACCTCTCCTCACCCTGCCCCTTTCTCTTTTGCAATCTCTGCCTGGTGACAGGCACTTTGGCAGCTTTTCATATATCCCAGAGTCTGAAAATTATATTTTCCTCTCATTTCACACACAAAAACAATCTTGCCTGGCCCCCACATTTTTCTTGTTGCTTTTGAATCATTTCCAGGAAAAGAAGAAGGAAATGCTAATTCCCACAGCTACTATATTTATTTATTTAGGTACTAGAGATTGAACCCAGGGGTGTTTAACCACAAAGCCACATCCCTAGCTTTTTTTAAAAATATATTTTATTTAGACACAGGGTCTTCCTGAGTTGCTTAGGACCTCACTAAGTTGCTGAGGTTGGCTTTGAACCCTCCATCCCCCTGATGCAGCCTTCCAAGTTACTAGGATTACAAGCAAGCATCACCATGCTCCACCATGCCCAGCTCTACAATTACTTCAGTACCACAAAGTCACTGCCACATGTTTTAGAATGTTTGTAAATGGGCCATCACCAATCACCTTGTGATAGACATTTAGGTTGTTCCCAGTATTTCTCTATTGCAAGCAATGCCAGAGTGAGATCCCTCTGCATAAATCCTTCTGAAGCACTCAGATACTTCTGCAGGATGATTTTCTACAAGTAGAATTTGGGGGTCATGGGAAATGGCCAATTAAAGATTTTTTTTAGTGTCCCTAGCTTTAAGTTTATTCAGCACAAAATAATCTCCTCCAACTTTACTGAAGTGGATGACCATGTCTACAGCCAAATCCACCTCTGAACAGGAACTCAGCTGCTACCCTAGGCCCAGCTTCAGCTTTCTTTTTTTTTTGGAGGGGTACCAGGGATTGAATTCAGGGGCACTCATGTACTGAGTCACATCCCAGACCTATCTGGTATTTTATTTAATTTAGAGACAGGGTCTCACTAAATTGCTTAGTAACTCCATTTTTGCTGTGGCTGGATTTGAACTCACAATCCTCCTGTCTCAACCTCCAGAGCCACTGGGATTACAGGTGTGCACTACCACGCCAGCTGAAGCTTCAGGTTTCTTGTCTGCACCAAAGGACATGGCACTCTGTGGGAATCTCTGCTGAATTCCCCTCTTATGGGTTCTTACAGGTCACTCACCCTCCAGACATTTGGCTAAGCCCTGCCAGGATACAGGCAGGATCTCAGGGGCAGTGGAGATCATCATGGACATACACAATACCTCTCTGGTAAAGTACCAGTAGAAAGGTCTCCAGCAAACTGTTCCTTAAGTAGCCTTGAGACCAGATAGACTGTGTGGTCTTTATGAATGAAGGCTAGGCACATTCCTGTCTGATAGCTCCAGGTGCATCAGAACATGGGCATCCTTTTTGGCTACCATCAACCACTCCTTAAAAAGGGGTTCAGAAATGGTGGCTCAGTTCTTCTTGGGCATCAACATCATGGTGGCTGAAAGATATGGGGAAGTGTTTCCATTTGGCCAAAGCTGAAGCTCAAGCCACTATAGTACATTCACTCGGCTACTACTACCCCATGAAATTGTTTGGTGACATGTTGCTTGAAAGAAGCAGTTGAGGCTTAAATGGAACAAATATGTAATCAGAGAGACTTTTCCATTCAAATTCTCAGATCTCAAAAAGCAAGGTAACTGCCTGGCATAGGGGGCATACATTTGTAATCTTAGTGACTTGGGAGGATAAGGCAGGAGGATCACATGTTCAAATCCAGCCTTAGCAACTTAGCAAGGCACTGAGCAACTTAGTGAGACCCTGTCTCAAGATAAAAATAAAAAAAGAACTGGGGGACTGGGGTGTGGCTCAGTGATAGAGCACTTGCCTAGCATGTGCGAGGCCCTGGGTTTAATCTTCAATACAACATAAAAATAAATAAATAATGTGCCCAACTACAACTAAAAAATAAATATTAAAAGAGAGAGAGAGAGAGAGAGAGAGAGAGAATGAGAACTGGGGATGTGTCTCAGTGGTTAAGTGTCCCTGGGTTCCACCCCTGGTATCAAAAAAAAAAAAAAAAAAAAAAAAAAAACCTAGGTAACTAGGAAGATAAGATGAGGTGGAAGTGGGACATGGAGCCAGGGTATGAATACCAGGTCTACCACCAAGTTGTATGAATTGGGGCAATTAAATAATGTCTCTGTGCAGGGTGTGGTGGCACATACCTGTAATTGCAGCAGCTCAGGAGGCTGAGGCAGGAGGATTGTGGGTTCAAATCCACCCTCAGCAACTTAGCAAGGCACTCAACAACACAGTGAGAACCTATCTCGAAATAAAATACAAAATAGGGCTGGAGGAGCTAAGGTTGTGGCTCAGTGGTAGAGCGCTTGCCTAGTCTGTGTAAGGCCCTGGGTTTGATCCTCAGCACCACATAAAGATAAATAAATAAAGTAAAGGTATTGTATCTATCTACAACTGCAAAAAAGAAAAAAAATTTTTTTAAAAAGGCTGGGGTTGTAGCCCAGTGGTTAAGTGCCCCTGAGTTCAATCCCTCATACCAAAAATTAAAAATTAAAACAATTTTTAAAATGTAATATCTCTGAGCCTTTTCCTTCCTCCTCATCTGTAAAATAAGACTAGTCGTAGTAACTGTTTCACAACATTTTTCTGAGGACTAAATAAGAAATGAAGTCACAGAGTCTGTGTATGTATTAATAATACACAAGAGATCCCCTTATCCCCTAAATTTTTATGAAATCAGAGTAGGTACAGAAAAGAATGGATGTCATTAGCTCTTTAGAAGAGATTTTTCCGTTCTCTACAAAGGCACATTGCTAGGAACAGAATTGGTAGGAGAGGAGTAGAAAGAGGGGTAACCAGGGAAAGATGGTGTTTCCCAAAGGGCAAAGGTCATAGCAAGACATAGGAAAATTTTGTGATTCTGAGAAAAGGCGAAGAGGAACTGTTGGTGGATACTAGATAGCTTAGAATCCAGTTTATGGATATATTATGGGATCCCTGCTCTATTTATATGAACAATATGATCAGTAGACATATCCCAAGGTTGATGGATCATTCCTTGTCCCCTTGGGCATTAGGCAGATATGTGAAAATTGTCTTTCTTCGGCCTCAGGGCCCCATGTAGGTTGAACAGGATGTCTGTGTAAATGCTAAGCCCTGCACTGGGCTGTCAAAGCCTGTACAACTGCATATGGCAGCCCCATGTGGCCCCACCCTCATGAATGTCTGCTTTGCCTGTGTATCCTCTGTCCCCAGGTGGCTTCATGTGGACCATAAGGTCCCCAAGGGTTTTTATAATGGATTACAAGGTTTTTATCCTCCCACAGTTCCAGCACTCAACTGATATTCTCCCCAGGCAGCTCTGAGGGGACAGGCAGTTCTCCTCTCCAGGAGAAGAAAGCAGCCTACTTTGGGTTCCCCCCACCTGCCTTCCAGGCACCACACATCCCTCTGCCTTCCTTCCCCTTGAGATCAGTTCAACTCTAGCACCAGGAAATCATTAATATGAGCATCTCTAAGAGGGAAAGGGGCTTCAAGCGCATGACACCCTTGGTCTCAGTATACATTCTGAGCACTGCACAACTTCATGCAGCCTCCTCGTGGGCGTGATGCAGTAGATATGAAACCTGTCCCACCCCTTCAGCAAGGATGGAAGGAAGATGTGAGGCTCAGGACATTGGTGCCTGCCTCTCTCTGCCGCTGTGTGCTGAGACACACAGACCCAGTGCAAAAGCAAAGCCTCAGGAAATCAGAAAGAAAAGGCTGTGTACTCTTGCTTTTTTCTCAGCAAGTTTCCCAAGCAATGGGGCTCCTCAGACACAGACTAGTCTCTGAAGCCAGGGAGCTTTCCCTTTGGGGAAAGAGCCTCCAAGCTTCCAAGAGCCAGCACCATCCGAAGCAAGTTCTTTCCTCCAGAAGTAAGCATTGCTTCGCAGGGGATGCCAACGTGCCCCTTGGGACCCACAAGTCCAGGTTTGGGGATAAGACACAGGCAAGAAGGACACAATATTCTTGTCTGCCAAGAGGAGGGTCATGGTTACATCCTGTCCTGGAGGCCAGTAATACCACCTGCCCCTACCCTGTCCTACAGCCCCTTAGGCTATACCATCTCCATCCAGGAACCAAAGGCAACACAACAAATGGCAACCTGCTGGGCATGGGGAGGGTACCTTCCTCAACCGATTAAGCTGGAACCAGGAGCACAGGGAAGGCAAAGGGCTAGGCTTGGGTGGGCGCTGGTCCGGGACTGGTCCCCAGGGACAGGATAGTAGCAAGCCATGCTCAGTGGAGGGCAAAGGAGAGGAAAAAAGCCCTCGATCCAGCAGCGGCCAAGTGGTAAGGGAGGTGTGTGAGTGGCACCCAGAAAGCTGCAGAGATCAGAGCACTCGGGACAGTAGGGAAAGCCAGGCAGAAAAGGCTGGGCTCTCTTCCCTTTAAGGCCACTACCAGGAATCTGATCCACTAGTTGCATCATCTTTCTATTTGCCCAGAGCTATATTTTGTTCAGAAACTCTGTCCTGAGAGGGGATTAAAGAAGGCATCCAGCAAGGACTGAACAAGGAAGGGAGGCATCAGTGGAACAAGGGTAGTCTTCCGCTGCCTCCCAGAAGGATGGAGGTGTACAACGTGTCTGTTCCCTTCAACTTCTCCCTGCCACCTAACTTTGGCAAGCGCCCCACGGACCTGGCACTGAGCATCATCCTGGTGTTCATGCTGCTCATCATTATGCTCTCTCTGGGCTGCACCATGGAGTTCAGCAAGATCAAGGCTCACTTGTTGAAGCCTAAGGGGCTGGCCATCGCCATGGTGGCCCAGTATGGCATTATGCCCCTTACTGCTTTTGTGCTGGGGAAGGTCTTCCAGTTGAACAACATTGAGGCACTGGCAATCCTGATTTGTGGCTGCTCACCTGGAGGGAACCTGTCCAACATCTTCAGTCTGGCTGTGAAGGGGGACATGAACCTCAGGTAGGACTAGGGCTAAAGTGGGAGCATCATGGAACGGGGCCACTGTAGGAATGTCACAATCAAGGGGAAGAGCTGGGTAAAGCCAGGAAGGGAAGAAGTGGGGGCTGTGGATGTTGGGGGGAGGGTCATGGTATTTATTGCCAAGAGCTTATGCAGGGTTCGGGGAAGGGACTGGGGACCACCTTGGTTTAAGCACCAGGCCAAAGGGGCCAGCTGGTCGAGGATTATTCTGAGACCTCTGCACTCCCAGAGGTATCTCAAGTGGGATACAAGGATTGTCTTAAAGGAGCACTGATTTCTACCAAAGAGCCTCTGTAGAACTGTACCAACCTAACTGGGTGTGAGGGGGTGTTGTCGACTCTGAAACAGAAGATCTGAAAGGAGGTGTGATGGGTTCCAAATATTGCCAGGGATTTCAAGGTGACTTGGAACCAAATAAGCACCTCAAATTCCTGTAGAGCAGACAAGAATTCCAAAGGTGTTTCCAAGTGTCTGAGCATCTGAGATATCTTCTTTTAAAGATCCATCAACCCAGAAGCCAAGCATGGGGAGACACACCTGTAATGTCAGAACTCCAGAGGCTGAGTCAGGAGGATCAAGTTCAAGGCCAACTTCAGACCCTGTCTCAAATAAAAACAAATAGAAGGGCTGGGGATGTAGCTCAGTGGGAGAGCACCTCTGGGTTCAATCCCCAGTACCAAAACAAGAAAGAAAGAAAGAAAGAAAGAAAGAAAGAAAGAAAGAAAGAAAGAAAGAAAGAAAGAAAGAAAGAAAGAAAGGAGGGAGGGAGGGAGGGAGGGAGGGAGGGAGGGAGGGAGGGAGGGAGGGAAGGAAGGAAGAGGGGAGGGAGGAAGGAAGGAAGGAAGGAAGGAAAGAATGGAATCCCTCATCTCCCTATCAGATGCATCGACACTTCCAGGCAAAGGCACAACCAGGTATGGTAGAATGTGACTTCCCCAAGCCTGCCCAGGTTATGGCAGGCCCCACCTCAGCCTCACTGGTAGGGGAAGACAAGCAGCATTTGTGGCCCAAAGCAGACTGAACAGAAGTCAGCAGGAGCCCTCTCTTAGAAGGCACAAGGGGGCTGGGAGTACCTGTCCTTCCAAACAGGTGAGACTCTAGCCTTATGCACCTTCCAGAGGAGGCCATCTCAGACCACAAAACTGTGCTGGGTCAACAAAGCTCATCAGCAGAAGCTCTCTCTCTTTTATCTAAGTCTGAGTCTCAAGCCAATTTCCTCTGATTCAGTCTTCAGTGGAGACATTATCCAATGCCAGACAAAGTCCACCTGCTTGTGTCTGTGAGCACCCTCCCCTCAGCTGAACTTTACTAAGAAAACTAACCAAGTTGGACTGGGGTATAGCTCAGTGGTAGAGTTCTTGCCGAGTGTATGCAAAGCCCTGGGTTCAGTCCTCACTACCAAAAAACAAAAAAAACTAACCAAGTAAAAAAATTCCCTCCAGGTAGTGCAAAGTGACACTGCGACAGTTGGATTTTTGAATTTTTATTGTTGCTGCTGTGCTGGAAATCAAACCCAGGGCTGTTCACGTGGTAGGCAAGTACCCTACCAACTCAACTATGTCCCCTTGGTCTATGGGACAGATTTTTAAATTATTATTTATTTAATTTTAGCAGTGCTGGGGCTTTGGGTATGCTAGGCAAGTGCTCTACCACTGATCTACACCCCCAGCCCTCTTTGGGACAGATTTTTAAATGAAAAAGCCTAGAGCAAGAGTTGGGGTTTACCAAGACCTGCACTCTGAGAATCCCCGGGCTCTCTACCACAAGATTCAACCTTCCCTGAGGTAGTGGATAGGGAGAGAGACACTAGGAATTCAGCTTGTACAGGATCCCTTGGGAATATATTTTGATGTTCAACAACCTCACTATGAGAAAATTTCTTCCCTCTGCCTAATGCAAACCTTCCTGCAGCAAAACAAGCTGATGGGTCTTTGATCTGGCCTATGAACAAAACTTGCTGCAGCATCTGTGTTCCAAGAAACCCAGACTATTATACCTTAAGTACTTTAAAACAGAATGCAAAAATCAGATGTCAGGGAAAGCTGCTCAGAGGGATTGATGTGTCTGTGGGAGAAGCAAAGCAGAGGTGACAGTGTGAAGGACAATGGACAAGTTTTTAAAAATGTAAGTGACCAGATGTCCCAGCCTCATCAACCATGCTAATGAGGCCTTCCACCAATACCTGCACTTCTGTGGTTTGAGACCTCCACCACGACAAGCCTCTAGTGACTCAAGAACATGACTCCATCTGCTTTCCTGCTCAGCCTCCTTGCCCAGGCACCTGAGACTGTCACTTCTCCCTAGACCCCAGGAGAGATAACACTCCTCTGGGACTGCCACCTTCTGTCATAAAGTCCCTTGTCCATAAACAAACCTCACATGCTCATTAAACCATGCCTTAGACCCCACTGGTGGAGCATGAATATTGCCATCTGCCATTACTTGCTGCCAGACTTCAAATTTCAATTTGAGTTCATCCGGGACATATTGTTACATGTATTATAATGACAATGATATTAAGAATAAAATAAAAATCTGCACTAGACACTGGATAAGTACATGATATGCTCAATGCCTGGGTAGGGCTGCTCTAATAACCACATATAAAGATGAGGAAACTTGAGTCTTAGATCTGGCCTATGGACAAAACATTTATTGAAAGTCTGGGTGGCTCCAAGGCCTGTGCTTTGACTCAAATATCTTCAAGGCCAGCATGTTCATAAACAAGATGGTTCATGGCCTGCCAGCCTCAAAGGCACAGGCCCTCTGCTCAGATGTAAGCCTGTGGGAGCTGAACCTACTGCTGTCACAGCTTCCTGCTTTTCAAGAGAAGGTAGAATCTCCATTTTTATGTGGAATCTTCAAATTTTTAAACATCAGCAACTTATTCAAATTTGTCTGAAACTAAACAATATATGTCTAAGGACCAAATGTAGCTCCAAAGCCCAATTTGAGAGCACTCACTCAGCCCAACATTACTGTGTCCCACTTAGAGTCAGTTTACACATGAGGAATCCGAAGTCTGGAAAACTGCCATAGGTTTCCCCCAAATTGTGAAAAGTTGCATATAGAACCAGTCCAGGTTTCTCTCCTGGTTATTCTGCCTCCAGCTGGGGTGAGTCTGAAGCAGCCTGCTGTCACAAGAGACTTAGGCCATCAGGTGAATTCCTCGATACAGATTCTTCCTGGAGGTCACACAGGCAAGAGAAAATGCCCTCCAAGTTGAAGTGACATTGGTTTGTGCAGAACAGAGAAGAGAATGTCAGCAGGAACAGGTCTCTTTTGTTTGCCCTTGCTGTCCCTCAAGCTCAACTGCTTCCCTCATCCCACAGGGCCCACAGTGGAAACTAGAGCAAATGGCGGTGGGACAGCAGGCTTGGGCACAAGCCAAGGATTCCCACATAATGTAGAAGACTAAACAGGACAAGATGGAAGCCACTGGGGTTCCTGAAAGTTTCCCTTTCACCATAGGACTGGTGGGTCCCCTCACATCTCCCTCAGCTTCTGCCTCTGAGCTCTCCATAGACAGGTGCTCAAAACCAGATTCTCAAACATGGTGTACAGATATCCAAAGCAGGGACTATGCAGTGCTCTGAGAGTGGAAGGAGAAAGGAAAAAGATAAACCAAATGTACCTTTTCTCCAAGAGGCAGCCAGGCCACAGTGTTATCATTGTGGAAACTAGAATCTGGAAGTTCTCTCCCAACCGTGTCCCTCAAGATAAACTGAGGATCACAACAGTTACAGAAATCAGCAGGTTAGGAGATGGATGTCTCTGACTAGCCCCCAGTCACTGTGCACATGGATGAAGTATCCCAGGGTCTGGGAACATGACTCCCACATACCATGAAATAAGAGAAGAGGATGCCATGAGATAAGGTACAGCATGTCCCAGAGCAAACTTCAAAATCTGACACACCAAGCCAAAGTAAGCATGACTTCTCTACTCTAGGACAGCAAAGCAAACACACAAGTTGCAAGTTGTTTTTTTACAAAAATCAAAAGCCAGCACTGAAGTCCCCACATGTCCCTCCCCCATCTCATTCCCTTGTTCTCCAAAGGAAACACCTGCTGGGATTTGGTGTTCTGCATTTCCTGGGATCTTTATCACATGTTAGATATCCATAAATAAAACATACTGCTGTATTTGCATGTTTTAAATTTTATATTAACTGTCATCATTTGACAACTTGTTTTGAGAAACAGGCATGTATGTAAAATAACTATTGCATTTAAATTTGCTTGAGTTGATCCATTCTGTAGTCAGACATGTCTGCAGATTTCATCCACTGCTTTGGTGGACAGTCTTGTGGATGGTCCCTTGCTCCCAGGTGAGAGGATATGTAATAAAAGCTAGACTGCTGCTGGGCTGAGGACTCACAATTCTACAGCAAATGTAATTGCTTCACTTTGTACTTCATTAGGATCCCTGTTTGTTCCTATCTTTATGTTTGGAATTATCAGACGTTTTAAGTATTGCCAACTGAGGAGTGTGAAATCGATCACAGTGATTTTAAATTTGATTTCATGGGAGACCTGGCAGCTTTCCATGTATTTACTGGCCGTTTGTGTACCTCTTCTGGAAATGTTATGGGCTTTGCTTGTTTATCTATAGGATTGTTTTAGTGTATTTTTAAACTATCAAAGTCATTTATATATGGTGAAAGTCTATTCACTGTTTGAGGCTTGATGTCTTAAAAAGATTGCTTACTCTAACTTAGTCAAATTTGCCATTTTTATTTTTTCTTGATCATTTAAATTTCTGAGTTTAAGGAACTGCCTATGCTATCTGCAAAGTGACAAAGTTTCTCTAAATTTCTTTGAAAAGTTTTCAATTTTTGCTTTTCATGTGGAGATCTTCAATCAACCTAGAATTTATTTTTATGTGTGATGTGATCTATCTTTTCACATGAATAAATTCCCAGCACCACTGAATTTTTTCCCAGTAATGATATAATGCCACCTCTCTTATTACATATCATAAGTTTGTATTTGGAATCTCTTATTGGTTAATATGGCTAGCCTTGCCTCACTACCACATTTTCCTAATTACAATCAAATTGTCTTGATATCTCAAATGTTGTCCGCCTATTCTTTTTTAGAAAATTTTTTAGATGTAGATGGACACAATACATTTTTACTGTATTTTTATGTGGTGCTGAAGATCAAACCCAGTCCCTCCCAAGTGCTTGCCTAGTATTCTACCACGGAGCTACGACCCCAGCACCTCCATACATTATTCTTAAAAATGCTTGCTACTCTGAGCTTTTTACCCCCCCAACCCCTTACTGGGGATTGAATCCAGGGACATTTTACCACTGAGCCATATCCCTAACCCTTTTTATTTTTTGAGACAGGGCCTCGTGGCCTTGAACTTGTGAGCCTCAGCCTCCTAAATTGCTGGGATTAGGTGTGTACCACTGCACCCAGCTGCCTTTTATGTTTTCACCTGAATTTTATAATCAGCTTTTAAGTTTGCTAAAAAATTTCTTGAGTTGGGCATGGTGGCTCAATCCTGTAATCCCAGCAACTAGCGAGGCTGAGGCAGTAGGATTGAAAGTTTAAGGCCAAACCCAATAACTTATATCCTGTCTGCCTCAAATTAAAAAGTAAACCTAGAAAAAGGACTGGGAATATAGCTCAGTGGTAGAGTGGCTGAGTTCAATCCTCAGTACCAACCCCTCAAAAATAAAATTGGGTGAATTTTGATTTGCATTATCTTTACACAGAAATTTAGAATCCATTTTTATATTGAATCTTTTTTAAAATGTTTTTTTTTAGTTATAGATGAACACACAGTATCTTTATTTATTTTTATGTGGTGCTGAGAATTGAACCCAGTGCCTCACACATAGGAGGCAAGCACTTTACCACTGAGTTACAGCCTCAGCCCCTTATATTGAATCTTCCCCAAAGACAAATATGGTGTAGCTTTTCTTTGCCTTAGGTCTTTTTCATATCTATGAAGTTTTATTTCTTCTATAAAGATCTTATATCTCAAAAAAATAGATCTTGGGGCTGGGGATGTGGCTCAAGCGGTAGCACGCTCGCCTGGCATGCGTGCGGCCCGGGTTCGATCCTCAGCACCACATACAAATGGGGATGTTGTGTCCGCCGAAAACTAAAAAATAAATATTAAAAATTCTCTCTCTCTCTCTCTCCCTCCCTCTCTCACTCTATCTTTTAAAAAAAAAAAAAAAGATGTTGTGTCCACTGAAAACTAAAAAATAAATATTAAAATTAAAAAAAAATAGATCTTGCATCTCTTTTAGATCTAAGTATTTCATTTTTGTGAATATAATTAATGGCATTTTTTTTTGTACTTGGAGGAATTTTATTAGTAATAGTATTTGTTCAGTGAGAAGGTCAGGGATGAAAAAGTCCCCCAAAGCAAGTTTTAGTTCCACACTAAACATGTAAGTAATGTCTTCTTTGGTTTCTTTCAGCTTTAATATTTGGTAGATCTAATTTGAAATGAGTTCCAGAACAGGGAAGAAGCTGAGGCAAGAGAGAGAAAAGAATGGGTGAACAGTTGAAAAGTGTAGTTGAAAAATGGGGAGACTGAGAGAGTATACTATAATGAAGCCCATCTCAGACAAAAAGCAACCAGTAGGATTTTCAGGGACTCGGCTGGAGCAATGCCCACCTCAGTCATCTCCCAGGTAAATATTCCCCCAGTGTCCAGGACCTGTGGCCCATCTACTCCCACACGCCTGCCTCGCCCTAAAGGCTTTCTGAGGTCTTCAGTCTGTCACTTGGATCAACATAAAACTAACCAAGCCCTGACTTTCATAGTCATTAAACAACAAATATTTCCTGAGGCAGGAATTGTTCTAAGGGATACATCTATAAACAACAGACCAAGGCCCAGCCCTTGTGAGCTTACATAATAGAGGAGAGAGACCAGAAAATAAACAATAAGCATAGTAAACAAGTAAAATAGAAGTCAAAGAGTGCTATGGGGAAAGAACAAATAGAGTTAGGTAAAAGGGATCAGAAGTGTGGGTGTGGGTGGTGGAAATTTTAAAAAGCTTGGTTAGGGGTGGGGGAGCTTCATTGAGAGTGTCTGGGCAAAGCCTTGCCAGGAGTAAGAGAGTTGGCCTTAGGTTGTAGGGGGTGAAAATTTTCAGACAAAGGAAAATAAAGGTTTAATGGTCTTAAACAAGAGGTTGAAGGTCTTGTTTGAGAAGCCCAAAGAGGCCAGGGAGCCTGGAGCAGGAGGAGTGAATAGAAGGTGCCATTGGGAAGTAAGTGGGGTGTGGGGTGCACACCAGGTAGGGCCTTGCTGGCCATTGTAAGCCTTTGGCCTTTAGCTGGGACCTCTTCAGCAGAATACCTGGGGCCATGACCTGGCCATGTGAGGCCACAGCAGAATGAGTGACAGCTAGACTTCTCAGAAATAAACATCTTATAGGGGAAGGGCAGTAATAAAATGAATCTTAGCTCTAGACTATAAAGAAATAGAGGAGAAGATGAATAAGGGCAGCAATGTAAAGAGGACTAAGTGAAAACCATTAGCCTTGATGCTGTTTGTAGATACCAAAGAATAAAGAAAAGGGAGACTTTTCTTCTTAGAAAAGCAATAGTTAATATTTTAGCAGTACTTGACAATTATTACCATTTTTAGTGGATTGTTCAGTGACCACTATTGGTCAGGCTAATGTTGATTATAGCACATAAACATTCAAGTAGGCTGGCTCTTTTGTTGCTCATGTAGGATATCAGTTTTATCTTTAAAAAGTAGCTGGGACATTACAGTGATACTCCTTTTGAGAGGGGTAACCAGCTGAACAATTCCTTCCTAGGATGGGAGTGCGGTCTGTCCTATCACATGGGGAAAAAGCCAGCACATTTTAGAATTTTGATGAGATTAGCTTGGTGATAGGAGAGTACAGGTAATGTGAACTCCATTTGATTAATGGCATTTTTTAAAAATTACCTATTTGTTATTAGTATCTTGGGTCCCATTTTTTAATATTATGAATGTATTTAGAACCTGTGGATTCTCTTGTTAGTTACAATGGAAATTTTTCTCTATGAATAATCCTGTTATTGACAAAATATTAATAAAAGTTTTGTTTCTTCTTTCCCCATCCCTATTTATTCTATTTGTTTTGCTGTGCCAGAGAGGGTCTATATATAGTATAATTTAAAAAGTGATAATACTGTTGCTTTTTTCCTTTTTGTGATATTAAGTCCTTATTTCACCATCAAGTTTAATGTTTACTATAGAATTGGGAATTTCCCTTGTTGCTAGTATAATAAATTTTTTTAAAACACTGAATTTTGTTGTTAGCTCTGCATCTATGAAATTCTTTTTAATCTGAGTGATGGGGGCCTCTTCTCTTGCTCCACTAGTATAGACCTTCAAATTATTGTTTCTGATTTGCTTCTATTTCTTATAGCCTTCTAATCATATATATATATATGCTAAGTGCTTTACATATATATATAATATATATATATAATATATATATATATATATTTTTTTTTTTCCTCTACTCCCATGCCACCTATTCCCAAAGACCACTGTCTCACTTTCCCCAACAGGTAAAGTGCACTTGTTGATCCATATTTTCTGTTGGACAAAGCTACTCTTATCCAGCTATTCCCTAGCTCTAAGCCTATAGCAACTGTACCAGATTGCTACTCCATGATCCTATATGCTAGTCAGGGTGATGGAAATCAGCTATATTCAAAATGGGTTGTGCATATGGTGGATGCTCAAAGCAAGAATTCCTATTATAGATAGGATTGGTATGACCCCTTTCTCAGTGAAGCACATAGGACTATGTAGTTGCATGGGTCTGGATTCAAATTCTGTCACTATTTGAGTTGAGGCAAGTCACAATTTTTTTCCTAGTCATCAGGTTCCCTAAAAGCCAAAAAGAGATAGTATGCTTACTGCTTAAGGAAATGAACTGTAAAGCACTTAGCATAGTGCCGAGCACATAGCCAACATTCTACAAGCCTGTTAACAGATTCGTTTCATCTCTTCCACCCAGCATCGTGATGACCACCTGCTCCACCTTCTTTGCCCTGGGAATGATGCCTCTCCTCTTGTATATCTACTCCAAAGGGATCTATGATGGCAGCCTGGAGGATAAGGTGCCCTATAAGGGCATTATGATATCATTGGTCATGGTTCTCATCCCTTGCACCATAGGAATCATCCTCAAATCTAAACGGCCAAAATATGTACCTTACATTATGAAGGTAAGACTGTGGGACAACATGGGAAGGAAACACCACCACACAAAGCTACTTATGGAGTAAAGCAGTTTATTTCGGGTCACAGTTCTATCGGCTCAAGTCCAAGATCAGGTAGCCCCTGTCCTCCAGTGAGGGTGGCTTGTCATGGCATGAGTAATGTTGGAGCAAGTGCTTACATTTTGTGACAGGAAGAATGTGGGTGTGGAAAAGAGAACACACATAAACATGGACCAGGTTTCCAGTCCCCTTCAAGAGTATATTCACAGTGACCTAAGGATCTCCCATAATGCCCTACTTCCTATATGTCCACAGCACTTCCCATTTGTACCATCCTAGGGACCGAGCTTTTCACGCATGGACTTGAGAGACTCATGCAAACAAGGAGTTTCCTTATAAAAAGCAGGGTAAGGGGGAGGAACCAGGTGTAGTGGCACACACCTGTTATCCCAGTGGCTTGGGAGGCTGAGGCAAGAAGATTGCAAGTTCAAGGCCAGCCTGAGCAACTTAGCAAGACTATCTCAAAAAATTAAAAAGGGTGGGGATGCCGCTCAGTCATTAAGTACCCGTGGGTTCAATCCCTGGTACACAAAAAAGGGGTGGGAAAAAAAAAAAAGCTTGGTACTCTTATTTCATGGGATCGTAAGTTACCCAAGAATACTTCTGAAGTTAGAAGACCAAAAAAAAAAAAAAGTATAAGGCATAACCATTATTTTAATAATATTTACATTATGCTCCTCTTACTACTAGATGCTAGTTTATGCTGCATATTCTGAAGACAGTCTTCATAATTTGATATTTGTACAAAGTAACACAAGAGAAATAAGATTCAACAAATGGGGGCTGGGGTTGTGGCTCAGATATAGTGCTTGCCTAGCATGCGTGAGGCACTGGGTTTGATCCTCAACACCACATTAAAAATAAAATATATTGTGTTCACCTACAACTGAAAAATGTTAAAAAAAAATTCAGGCTAAGGTTGTGGCTCGGTGGTAGAGCACTCACCTAGCAAGTGTGAGACCCTGGGTTCAATCCTTGGCACCACATAAAAATAAATAAAATAAGGGTATTGTTTCAAACTACAACTAAAAATTAAGATATTAAAAAAAAAACTCAACAACTGCATAAGAACAGGTACTGGAAGAATGTAAGGAGATATGATTTTTCAGAGCTGGAGTGCTCATAGGGGCATCTTGGAGAAGAGGGGCTTTAGCCAGACCATAAAGAAGAGTAGGATTTAGCTAAGATTGGGAGAACTCTGAGTAAGAGTTCAGAAGGCACTAAGGCCAACTTGACTGACTTAAGAAGCCAAAGGGAGTCTGGGGAAAGGTGGTGGTGTATGTACTCCCAGCATTTCAGGAATACGATAGATGAAGAGTGAAGTGAGTAAAACCTCAAGAGAATTTATAGCAGTACTATGGTCACATATCACTTGCCCTCAGAGGAATCTCGGAAGTAACAGCTGTGGGCCCTTCACCCACTTTATAGGAGACCTGAAAAGTACTTAAAACTACAGCCATTCATTGAAAACCTGCCATCCAGAGCTGGGTCAAAAAAAGATTTGTAGCTGAGTTTTAGAGTTATTAGTCAAGTTTCTGTTTTCCAAGTATCCAAACTATTGTTAAGTCTAAAAATAAACAGATCTTTTTTTTTAATAAATTTTTTTTTTTAAAAAGAGTGGAGAGAGGGGGAGAGAGACAGAGAGAGAGAGAGAGAGAGAATTTATTTATTTATTTATTTATTTATTAGTTTTTCGGCGGACACAACATCTTTGTTTGTACATGGTGCTGAGGATAGAACCCCGGCCGCACGCATGCCAGGCGAGCGCGCTACCGCTTGAGCCACATCCCCAGCCCCAAAATAAACAGATCTTTCATATTCCCTTTCCACTTCAAATATCAATATTCTAGTAAAAAATGCTTTTTCATTCCTAATCCCCATCCTTATCTCCCACAATGACTTTTTTTCTTGTCCTCTGTCCAGGGAGGGATGATAATCACTCTCTTATTCAGCGTGGCGGTCACAGCCCTCTCCATCATCAACACAGGGAAGAGCATCATGTATGCCATGACACCACACCTGCTGACAGTCTCCTCCCTGATGCCTTTTATTGGCTTCCTGCTAGGCTACATTCTCTCTGCTCTCTTCTGTCTCAAAGCAAGGTAGGTATTAGAGCCCCTGGGTTCAATCCCTGGTACAAAGAAAGGATCTGGGCAAAGAATTTTCCTAGCTGTATGTTGAAAGGCACCAAAGGAACAAAGAGCCCTGGACTGAGAAACAAGTATCAAACAGGAGAATTACTGAATGGGTTAGAGGCCTAAGTTAAACCCAGACACCAAATGCATCTATCATCCAAACAGCAACACCTAATGGCTGAGTGCCCCTCTCTCCAGAGTCTAGATTCCACCTCTTACTGAATTCCCTAGACAGTAATGGCCTGGGGTAACTGGGAACAAGGACACCCAATTCAACATATTACAGTGACTTTCCCTCATTTTAGCCCTGGGAACAAATGCTTATGAAGGAATGTAATCATTACTAGCGCACATACCCCAACATACACACAAAAAAATTATAAATAGAATTTAAAAAATACCCAGGATCTGGGGTTGTGGCTCATCAGTAGAGCGCTCACCTAGCACATGCAAGGGCCTGGGTTTGATTCTCAGCACCACATAAACAAAATAAAGGTATTGTGTCCAACTACAACTAAAAAGTAAATATTAAAAAATAATTATCCATTTAAAAAGCTGTACTAACAAATCACTATAGATGTAACACAAACCAAAAGGCCATCAATAACCAGTGACATAAATTTTCTCAATGCAGATCACAGTAAATGGCCACATACTAAAATGTCATCACAGTAGCCTCCCTCATTTAAAAAAAAAAATGTGCTTTTATTTTATGACTATTTTAAAACACTTGGAATTCAATAAATTTGAATGTGTATTCATTATATGTAAACATCCATTCTCTAACCTGTAAAATGGAAAGCAAAACTGGAAAAATATCTTCCTGAGTTAGAGTATTTGTTTTAAAGATGCTAAGCCACAAACTTGGGAACCAGGCAAAACTCAGGGCATTTCAGACAAACTCTTCCATGACCTGTTGAAAATGTAATTGACCTATAGATTTGACCTAACAAGCCAGTGAATGATACCAACTCAAAACTTCCTCTCATCCCTCAACCAGCAAGACGATTTCTCCAAACTTAAATTTGGCAATCCTGCAAAAGCAGACTTCAATGTGTACTTAAAAACTTAAATGAATCTTCTAGGCACCATCCTCCACAGGTTGGGTCAGACACATCAATTTGATTTTTCTTAAAATCAATATGCACCCTACATATCTGATTTCCATCAGATTGCAAAGGGTCCCAGTTATCTGGGAATGGGGGAGAACAACCGAAGTCATGCCCTCATGTCCCTTATGAGTGTATACAGTTGTTTTGTCTTCTTCTCCTTCATAGGTGCAGACGCACCATCAGCATGGAGACAGGATTCCAAAACATTCAACTCTGTTCCACCATCCTCAACGTGACCTTTCCCCCTGAAGTCATTGGGCCACTTTTCTTCTTTCCTCTCCTCTACATGATTTTCCAGCTTGGTGAAGGGCTTCTCTTCATTATTGTCTTCCGGTGCTACAAAAAATTCAACCCTCCCAAGGGTGAGTATCAACCCCCATCAAGCTCTGCTCCTATATAGGAACATAGACTTCAACACATTTCTAGCAGCAACTTTTAGGAGCCAACGTAGCTTCCATTAACTGCATGCTCTGCCTGCCTTCTAGCTGGAAAAACCAAACTGGATGTGCAACATGGGCTGCTTTATCTAAGCAGGGAGACCATTTCTCAGTATGAGAAAATAGGACAGATATGCTTTGGACAGAGATAGTTGTAAGATATAATTTGGTGAAAGGTCTATTTCAAGAATTCAAGAAGTTTCAGTATTTTTTTTGGATTGAGTTTTCAAGGTCCTGGGACCAGAACCCTTTGTACCACTGGTACCCCCATGTGGGAAAAACACATTAAAGCAATGCAGCCCTTATATCCAGAACCCATCAACTCTGGTTACACAGTAAGTGCAAGCCTGTTAAACAGTAACCATCACAATAAACTTAATACGATTTATACTTTAACCTGATCACTACTGGATAACATGGCACCTGTTCAGAGCACTACCTCCAAAAAAATAAAATCCCAGAATCTCTTCCTGGAGTGCATTTTAATCCTAAATGCCACCCCACTCCCATGCTAGGGACTACCCAGGTTCTAATTACAAACTTCTAAAATTGAGCTAGAATCCTGGCCTACAAATATCTTTAAAGCAGAAAACTCAACCTTGCTTTATAACACATCTCATTTATTTTATCCTAAACATCATTATACTTTTTTCCAATAACTTACCCAATTCATTCTCCTGCCTCATTTCTCTCAAAAATTTTTCTTGCCGTGGGGTTTGGTACCTGAGGAGAGTACTCAACTTTCCCTGGTAAAATTCATATTATATACTAGCAAACGCAGATTCTCTCCCTTTGCAATTAGCTTAAGATATAACCTTTGTTTTCAAACAGCCAAAAGGGGGGGGGGGGGCTGACCATACCACAGAACCATTTATCAGCACTGGTTCAAAACTACTGTGGAGTTGTAGAAAAACAATCTTAAGTTTGACAACTCAAGATTTTTGCCCAATAAGATAACCACCTTGCCAAAAAATGTATGGGAGAGCCAGGCGTGGTGGTACACGCCTGTAATCTCAGCAGCTTCAGGCTGAGGCAAGAGGATTGAGTTCAAAGCCAGAGAGGCAAGACACAATTGAGACCCTGTCAAATACAAAATAGGTCTGGGTATGTGGCTCAGCGGTCAAGTGCCCCAGAATTCAATCCCAAGTACAAAAAAAACCAACAACAACAACAAAAAACAACTATATGAATGAACTTAAGACTTAATATTCAAGAAACTTCCTCACAGTATTCCTTGGAAGATGACCCCAGTGGTACTTTCTCTTTGGAGCTAATGGTCTCAAGCAGCTCTTCTCAGAGTATATAATCTGTCACAAAAAGGCTTGTTATTGAACCCTATACCCTTAATAGTAATGAGACAAAAGACCTCATCAGATTTCCCTAAAGCTCTTCTTCCCTGCCCTGTTACCTCCAGAATGCAAACCATTCTTGCTGACATAATAAACCCACCTCCCCTGTTATTTTATGTTCAAAGTTGCTAGAGGTGAAGAAATGAAATCTTGATATTCCATTACTAGAGTAAGTACTTACCACCATTAGGAAGACTGAGGGAAAAGCTAATCTTTCCTCAGAGTTTGAATCATGAGAGGTCATATTAAAGAGATTATAAACATATAAACTCTAGCAGTACTAAGTATTATTTTCCAAAATGAACGTTTATTATTAATATTGTACTCCCAACCATCCCTTAAACCCTTTTTGATTTTACAGAGAAAACAAAAATGATCTATACAGCTGCCACAAAAGAAGCAATTTCGAGAGCTCAGGAAAATGGCGTCCACAAAGGGGAAGAGTGCTCCCCTTGCACAGCCTAGCCCTTCCGACGGCAGCCTGGATTCTGGGCAGATGGCAACTGAGAAAGCCAGTGTGCTCAACTACAGGGCAGCAAAAACAAAACAAACACCAGGCTTGTCTTTCTCTAGCACTTCCAAACCACCTCAATTCTTACAAAGAGAAGATTCACCTCAGCAGAATCAAGGGTTGGTCTGCAGGACAAAGGAAGACTCGCCTATCCCCTGCTTGTACTGGTTAAAAAAATAAGACTTATTCAGTGACTATAAACTCTATGAAGGCAAAAAATAATCTGCCTTTTGCCCTAGACCTCTGAAGAGTGCCTAATTAGCATATAAAACTCCATTTCTGGGCTAATCAATAATGGCATGTTTTACCCATTAATCAAATACTCAAATCTCCAAGTTTTTTGACCCAAAAGGAAATAAATGCTCAAGAACACTGCAGAATTAGCACATTACAAAAGTTCTAATAAAAGATCATATTTCCTTTCTCTTTGATATTATTTGGATTATATTTCGTGAGAATGGTTGTGACACCAAGCATGGAAAAGTGGACATAAAATGCAAAACAAAGCAAACTCAAAATAGCATTCACACTCACAATGAAATGTGGATATCTGAAGGGTATCTGAAGACCACCAGTAGTGAGAAGCTGTAACAAGGTGAAGTCAAAAAACAGAGAACTTCATTAACAATCTATTCCATCAGCTCATAACACATCAGTGGAATAAAGTAACCCCCCACATTGGAGGTACACTGTGAACTACTGTCAGAATGGTTTCCCAATTGGAAGAAAAATTTGAAATACTCAAAATTTTTTCTAAAGAAATTTAAGCTTTTGGGGTATTAAATGAAAACAAGCATTAAGATTAATAACCAATAGGCTGGAGCTCAGTGGCTCACCTATATCTACCTGATTACATCTCCTAGGACACACAGCTACCCAGAACAAAGAAATGAAACAAGTTATGTTTAGCTTTTAAGAAAGATTAAGGTTGAACTTAAAATGTATTATCCTCAAATTACTCTTAGAGAATTAGATCAGAAATATAAACACAAAAAACTAAGGTAATATGCCTCACATAAAAGCAGATTCTGAAACTGTTTTTAGCATTACATTCACTCTGCTTATGACTTCTCAAGTCATAAATCTTAAAATTCAAACTCCCTTTTTGGAACATAAATAACCCAGTTACCTGCAATTTTAAAATCAGATTTTATTCCCTCTCAAACACTTGTAAAGATTAAAAGTAGCAAGCCTCTACTTTCTAATTCTCTGTGTGGGAGGGGACACATGTAATATCCAATTACATTTAACCATAATGCCTAAGTACATCTGAAGAATCCAAGGGAGGAACTGATATTACTTCAGGCTGCAATTGTATACAGAAATCAAAATTTTAGCTTCCACTCCAGTTCCCTCAAATGTTTTCCCAGACTCAGCCTACTAAAAGAATTAACATTATTTTCATATCTCAATGTTCCAGTCTTAAAACCCAGAAGAGAAGGGTACCAAACTTTTCACACCTATTCCCCAAAGTAGATTCCTACTTCCTGACTTCCAACATCCGGGGATACCAAAGTCTGATTTTTTCTCTGCTACTTCTAATTCCACCTTCCTGAAAGAAAAGGGCAGGAAATTCTGAAGTCCCTGAAACCAGACTTCCTAGATTTTAATTTCACCACCACTTACTTGGATAAGTTGACAAAGTTCCTTAATTTCTTGATAGAGTGGTATTATAATCTTAAGATTGAGTGAATACATTGGTAAGCACTAACTACTGTAGTTAAGTAGATGTTTTTCTGTGTTCCCAAATGTGTCTAGCCTAGCACCCAAAAACCTTAAAACTGAATCTTTGACAATACTAGAATAAAGCTCATTTCCTATACTTAGGAGTCTGAAGGTTCAGGTAAAGTGCCCAACATTTTAAAATAGATGGGATGTTGGCCTTTAAGCAGTTTTCACTATTGATTCCCCCTACACATGTATAGCAATGTTTCAGAACTAAAAATAACAGGATGTTCATGTTGACTGATAAGCTTTCTATCATCTCTGACCATCCCTATGCACTAAAACCTTTAAGGCAGGCATTAGATTTTATAATTTGCTTCCCAAATGCATTATCCTCGTAAAACTGTTAGCATAAGAAACAAATGCAAATAGTCAAGCAACAAAGGAAAAGTATGAAGGAATAGACACAAGATTAACTGTCAAATCACTTTTTAGCCATTATTTAAATAGTTCATTGACTTCGACTTTTTAAACTAGCCTGGAAATGTTTAAAAATATTATTTAAAAACCCCATACTAAACTACTCCAGGATTCTAAATGTGTTGTGTCTTAAAACATATTACACATAGAAAAGAGTGGAAAAATCAAGTAATATAGGACTTCTTCAGACAAACAAGACAAAAAGTGTTTTATAATATTTTATTATCAATAACAAACAGCTGCTTTAATGTGTCTGTGTCCTGCAGCTGTTAATGGGGTGGATGGGAGGACACCCTTGACCCTAACAAGGTAAACTCAAATTAAGCCTTTATATACAAGCAAATTTAGAGCTCTTTTAAGTGTCCAAAGCTATTAATTAGTTTAATTGAGGCATTAAACTAATTCTGAATTAACATATTTGAATAACCCAAGAACTAAAATGTTCAATTTTTCTAGTACAAAAATTAAATTTGCTTTAGTTATAAAAGAGCTCTGTCAATATACACAAACTATATACTTCAGACATTCACAAAAATGTGAGCAGAAGGCTTATCAAAAGACATTTAATACAATTAGTTTTCAACAACCCCTTGGTGGTCCACATCTACAAAGATATCCAGCCCAGCCCAACCCCCCTCCAAATCCCACCCCCACAGAAAAGCACATACTTACCAGAATTTTTAGCAAGTATGGTTTGGGAATTTGTTTTTTTGTTTGTTTGTTTTAAAAAAAAGGCCCCCAGGGCAAGTTATTTACAGTTTAATTGCCACTGTCAACTGATCTGGACCTGGACCTGGACCGGGACCTCTGGCGATCCACAGATGCTGGAGACTTAGATCTACTTGAAGAACCACGTTTCTGGCTCTTCTCAGGCACAGGAGACCTACTAACTGAACGGGACTTGCTCCTGCTCCGGCTCCTGCTTCTTGACCGGCTGTAAGACTTGCGACTACGGGAACGAGATCGGCTCCGTGACCTAGAGGAACTCCTGGTCCTTGATCGAGACCTGCTTCTTGACCTACTATGAAAAGTGCGAGAAAGGGGAAAGAAAGTGGGGAATGAGCCTTCATGACACACCCTAACAAACCCATTAAGTAAAACTTTATGACTTAAAAATATTAAAGATACCTGTGCCTTTTGCTGCCTTCAATTAATTTGATTTTTCTCCCATTTATTTCCTTTCCAGAAAGTTTTTCAATAGCATTCTTTAAATCACCATAAGAGGCAAATTCAACCACCCTAAAATGAAGAAAAAAAATCTTAAAAAAGACACATACCCCCCACAGCCACATGCACTATATATAGCAATCTAGGTAAGTAGTAGTTGCTGTTACACTTTGCTCTTCCTATGTTAGGTCTTTTTTTTTTTTTTTTTTTTAATATTTACTTTTTAGTTGTAGTTGGACACAATATCTTTATTCCAGGGCATTGCATGTGCTTGGCGTGCACTCTACTGCTAAGCCACAATCCCAGCCCCTAGGTCTAATTTCTGACAGACAATAGCGTAGCAAAATTTTGGCACTGCTGACATTCTGAGCCAGAAAATTCTTTGCTATAGCATGTTTCGCAGCATGCCTGGCCTCTACAGTTTAGAGGTCTTTAGCACCCTCAACCAGTTGTGACAACCAAACCTGTCTCCAGAAATTATCCCCTGGGAAGCAAAACTGCCCCAGATGGAGAACCATCAGAATAGAGCATGAACAAATTATATAAGTTCTCAAACATGTTCACAGTAAAAATTTTCAGGATATTTCAAAAGACTTTCAAAATCTCTAGTACATACTCACCCTTCATTTAATTTAGGTCGATGTGCATCCGCAAAGGTTACTTCCCCAGCTTGTCTCATGAAATCTTTGAGATCCTTAACATAAGACAATTGTGTCAAGCAAAGAAAAGGAAAAGTGACACACAAACAACCACATGGTATAAAAACAAGACTACTGAAAGAGAAGTTGTTAGATAAAGTACAAACATGGCATATACCACACTTGTATTCTATCAGAATTCAAAAATTATGTCAGGGCACGAAATAAACAAATAGCATATTGCTTGTAAGCAAAATGCTAGAGGAAATTCAGATTTTTAACATTAAAGTAGTATTAGTCTATATTGAGCTCAGTACAAAAGGAAAAAAAACAAACAAGAAACAAAAACAAAAACAAAAAAGAAACAGTACATATTTTTAAAGTAAAGACTAAGTAGAAGTTTTATATTTAACAGAACATTTACAAGACACCAGTTATTTTGTGCCCCATATGTCATTAAAAAAGTTTACTTTACCTTTATTAATATTTCCCTAGGCTAGTCAAGCAGCAAACCATTAATCGGTCGGAGAAACCTTCATGACATATGCCCGACTGGCTCTTCGCCACCCACTTGAAGGATACTACCCAATCGATGGAAGCCTTTAATCGCACAGCCCTCCCTATTAGCAGACTACTGGCGATGCAGACATGTTCTACTCTTGTGCAGTTACCAAGGACCACTTTACTGCGATCAGGATTCCAACGACCACCTAATTTCGTATCTTTCAACTCTTTTCGACCAGGACCTCTTATTCGGAAGCGTTACAGGAAGACAGCTCTCAACTTAGGGATCAGATCACGTTATCAACGCTCTGGGATCGCTGCAACCTGGCACTTCAATAAGTGCACCGATTACGTCTAGACCGGCAAACACAGATCTAGAGGTGGCCAACTGATCACTGTAGGAGCTGACTGGCAAAGTCAACCAGGCCCAACCAAGAGTGACCAAGACAACGATTAGGATAACCCACAGGCACTCCTCGTCATAAGGCCAACGACACAGATAGGCTGGCAAATAAAGGGTTTAATATTTGGTTAAAATTGATTTTAAAAAACAAGAAAAAATATCCTCAAAACATTTACATTTGATCACATATTAAAATTTGAAATATCCCCCAGTTACATTTAATTAAAATTTAAAATTACAAATTAAATCCATTAATTTAATTAAAGATAAAACTACTTTTAATAAAACATTAATAAAAATTAACTACCCATTAACTTTATTTTTTAAAAAAAGCCACATTAAAATAACTCAAAACTGTATTTCAACAAACCTGCCAGCTGACTCTTGAGGATAAATTCTCAACTATAAGTCGATTTTCTGTTCTTACAGGTGGAGCATTTCTGAGGAAAAAAATGAGTATTCACAACAGAAGAAATGCAATGTTGATGTGCAGTGACAAATGCATTTCTTGTGTTCAACTGAGGACAAGTTCAAACAATCAGACATGACAAACTATTCAAATGACTATAAAGTGTTATTCTATGATTCATTACTCATCAATCTGAAGTAGCACTTTAACACAGACTGAAAAGAAGTCCCAGAGCATTTATGGCTAATGTTTCCCCAAAGGTAAATACTGCCCCTATACTGTTCAAAGCAGCCATTCAACCACCACATACCGTCTATCATTTCGAGGTCTGCGACTACTAAAACGGTCAGAGTAGCGTCCTCTACCTCTTCCACCTCGGGATCGTGCCCTAGCATGTTCAATAGTAACCCTAGAGAAAAGAAAGAAAGAAAAAAAACCCCTCCATTTATGTATACTCAAGTTCAAAGAATATTCCAGCTGACCTAGTCTGCTCTATTTTCCAGGGCCAATTATAAAACTAAGATTCTCACCTTTCACTGCAAAGTTCTTTCCCATCAAGTTCATATACAGCATCATCTGCATCCCTGGGATCCTCAAATTCCTAAAATTTAAGCATAAGAGAAACAGGGCTTTAAATGTGCATTCTACAACATATTTAAAGCATCAAAGATACTAAGACAGGATGGGAAGTGTAATCTTAACATAACAATACAAATAAACCTAACCAAGGGGTGATTGGGAGTGGCTTTCAGCCAGACAGCAATTAGGATGTTTTAATTCTTAAAATAAATAAGCAAATCGCTGCCTCATGGCTATATAACATTTCCGAAAACAAGCATTCTACCTGGGTTCATTATGAGTGAAAACAGTACTAATAAAAACCTTCACCTACTATTTAACAGATAATTCACCTAGTTCTAAATACTTACCACAAAACCAAAACCTCTTTTCAGATCAATATCTCTGATCCGTCCATAACCCTTGAAGAATCTTTCTACATCTTTCTCCCTGGCCGCTGGGTTTAGCCTCCCGATGAACACTCGACAGCCACTCATGATGTCCGGCTAGTATTTCCTGTTAAGAAAATAATTCAATCGAAATAATACCAATTAGTGGCTAAGAGATCAAACATATGACTCAAATAAGAATTTTTACCTATGGATGTTATAAACAAGATTGCCAACAGTGCCTCTAATCAGGCCAGGTCCCTCGTAGACAAAAATTAAATCTCGCCTGCCAACACGATTTCCCCCCCTCCCTGATCCCAGACCGCAGCAACCGCAACGCCCACTGCCACTTCTTGAACTGCGCAGCCGCACAATCTCCCAGCTCCTGGGCCCCCTCCCATCTGCCGCAGTTAGGAAAGGCCGAGAAGTGCGGGCGGAGCCGACCCCGCCCTCCGCAAGGCCAGCCCAATGGCGACCGGCCGCGCAAGCGTAGCCACCACCCAGAAGCGTCACAGCGGGGGGTGGAAGCCGGAATCTCGCGACGCCACAGCTGAGCCTGCGCAGACGGCAGCAGGCGGGCACTAGGCAGCACAAAATGGCGGCCGCACAGTAAGCGGCAGGGGAGAGGCGCGTGAGCCAAATTTCCTTCTCGCTCCCCCTCGTCTGGTACCGCTGTGCCGGAGTCCCTGGGCCAACTCACGGGAAGGCCTAATGGTACCCAGGGAAAAGGCAGACCCTGCTAGAAGGCCTAACGGCACCCTGACCCACTACAGGAAGGATCGGGGTAATGAAGACATAAACAGTAGCAGGGAGGGGCGCGCAATCCCTCAGTAAAACGGACTAGAACCATGACCGCCCTTCCACCTTCAGTACCCCTCCAACAATACCAAAAAGGAGACGTGCCCCAGCGCCCACCTCAATCAACTGCGCTCATTAGACGCCGTCCTCCGCAAAGAGAGCAGCCCCAGCCACTCGCGACCTGAGCGGCCATGAAGAAGCCTCGATCCGAGAAGCCTTGCCCTCAAAGTGAGCCACTCACCTACCGGACAGGATCTTTGGCAGCTGAGACCCAGAGAGGTCCGTAGTCTGCGACGGAGTCGTCTGCCTCCCCGCAGACCTGGACTTAACTCGTCTACGTCTTTCGACAACTGACGCACTTAGCAGCTCTGGCGTTCCACAAAATGGAAGGCGCGTCCCTGCGTCACTTCCGGGGCCGCCCCTGGGATTTGGAGAGTGCAGCCCGTTGGATCCAGGGACGGAAGTTTCCGCGGGGCAGGAAGTTTCCGCGGGGCGGGAGCTTCCTTATAGTGACCCAGAGAGCGACCCTCAATCCGCGGTGGGTGGGGCTTGGGGCGGGAACTAACTCGGGCGCGGCCGGAGCCGGGAAACGTTCGCTCCTCTGGGGATGTAGAGTTCTGTTTGTCGTCCCGAATAAAAAGATCCTGACGAATTGACAGCCCTTTTGAAAAACTTAAAGTTTTTCTTACGTACCCTGAAGGTACCTGGGTAAAAGACATCTAGGTTTTTGCAAAAACACCTGCACTTCTCAGTCCCTTTGCTGAGCAAGGGTGCACCTGGATGGCATGTAAATGCCGCGGACAGGTGGTTTAGTTGTACTGAGAAGTCTAAAATATTTTTCTAAATGGAATGGAAGGTTTTTCTTGATGAAACATTGAAATTGGAACTGCAGCAAGAATAACGAAAGACAAATTTCTACCTTCCCACCACTCTGGAACTGAGCTGCCTGACCAGAAGAGGTTTCAAACTGCTTTACCCAAGGGCTATTTGGTTAATCCTCCCAGTTCGGGTTTCTGTAATATAACACATCAAAGTCGACAGTTCTTCCGAAACAGAATATTGAGGTTTCTTGGTGTGAAAAAGCCCTCCACATCCTTAACTCCAGCGTTTCCCCAATAAGGTTGGTAGGTAAGCCTAGACACTTAGGCATAAAGAGAACAATGGTGAAAAGGTTACATTTAGGTGGAACTTAATGAATCCCATTTTTGAAAAGTGCCCAGAATCTAGGATTGTATACTTGCAGCTACAGTTACTTTGCCATAAATAAAAGTAGTTCAGGAAAGAGGAGAGCAACTAATCCTTACTCTCACCCAAGGGGCCCTTAGGTACTAGGATAGTTTGTATGGATGAGCTCCATTCACAGTTATATATACAAATAAAAAGAGCCTCAGTGAGTACACAGCAAAGTTGGAGTTACTTATCTATAGTGTAAAGAAGTTAAGGATCTATTTAAAATAAGTATTTATTAAATTAAAAGAAAAAAATTAACCTTTAGATGTTAGCCTAATAAACATTAACATTTTATAATACACAAATTGTTCTCAAACCAATTTGATTACATTTGTCTGGTTTCTGCATATTTAAAGAAATGAGGAAAACAGTTTTTTATTATTTTCTATATTTTATGTTGACTGTGCAAACAATTACTTATGATTTTACTGACTACCTGTTACTTTTGCTTCAATAAGAGAAGGTAATCTGGAAGAGGTTTTCTGGGGATGAAAACATGAAAGATGGTGCTGTACACTATGAAAAAAAGTTGCTACTTTCAGTTCATGATGGTGTGATTTTCTTTAGGACTTTTTTTCCCCCCAGTGCTGGAGATTGAACCAGTTCCTTAGGCATGCTAGGGAAGTGCTCTACCGCTGAGCTACATCCCTAGCCCTAAGGACTAAATCTTTTTATAAACTCTTTTTCTTGATTTATTAACTCTTAAAAAGTTTGTGAGTTCTACAAAAAGTAATGTTTCCTTAGTGGTATTAATATTATGATCAATATTAACAATAGAATACTGTCTTCTGCAGTGTTTGTTTTTTTCCATGAAGACTTTTAAGTCTTCCTATCAGATTGTTTCTTACCAGTTTCTCCAATAAACACAATCATCTTCCATGAACAGAATTACTTATCTGTTTATATGATCTTAGAGTATTCTGTTTATACCCCTATAATTTTCTTATCACTGACTTATATTAAAATATGTGTTCTTCCTTGTCCCAGAAATGCCTAGTACAGGAACAACTCAATATTTATAGGTCTGTATTTACATGACCATTTTTTCCAGGTTGCCCTGTTCCTCTGTTAACGTTTCAACAAGATGGCTTGGCAGCCTTTTCCAAAAACATCCAACTAAATAGCAAATCTTTAGCTCAGGAAAAAAGATGCAGAGATATTACAGATTAAAATAAACACAAAGTTTATTGTCCATGTCTGTTGGGGACTTTCAGCATTGCTGATAAGTTTCATTCCTCACAATCTTGATTTAATTCATCTAATTCAAGAGTCCACAATTATAGCTTGTGGCCTTCAGCCTCTTAAAAGATCTGAGAATGATTTTTACACCGTTTAATGTGGGCAGGGTGGGGGGGTGTTGAAACAAGAATAATATTGGGCAATACATGAAAAATATATGAAACTTTGAGGATGGCCTTAGGCCTGAGCCTAAGCAACTCCATTTTAAAAACTCCAGACTCATTAGGCCCACCTAACAGAGCCTTCCAGTATGGCCTCAGACAAGGTATTTCTCCTCACCCTGAGTGAAGCCTCTGGCAGGCTGTCCTTGCCTGATAAGAGGGAAAGGTGAGAAGATCAGGGTGGAGACCACCAGACCAGATATTTCTGACACCAGGGTAAATGATGTCATGGAGAAATCCAGTGGTAACTGATAAGGATTGAAAGGGGGGTCAAAAGCCCCCAAATTTAGTATAAATAATAGAGCAAATGAACAGGGGTTCAGCCAGCCGAAACAAGGATGCACTCAAGCTGGAGAGCCTGATGAGGACCTGGACTGATATCCCATCACTTGTCATCGTTTTCCTGATTCTCTGTGTGATCCTCACCACTCTCAAACTCTACCGCTGCCTTGTCTGGACGCTGGTGAGAGCTGCAACTCCTCCCTAAGACCCTCTCCTCAACCGGTTGTCCACTCCACGTCAGAAAAAGCCTGCCTTGGTTCTGGACCTGATCACCGCGGTCTGAGTAAGTGTGCATCTGCTGGACTTAAAGCCTAAGGCTTGAGACTTTTGAACTTATCCTGCAGAGGGAATGTCTGTCACTAGCCTGCGTGATTAAGTGTGTTTGCAGTGCTTAGAGTTAATCTTGAATTGTTTGCTGTGAATGATTATGTCTATTGCAGTGCCTAGCATTAAGAATTGTCGTTATCTTGATTAAGAACCTATGGAGTGAAAATATATTGAGCAATTTGAGTGAATAAAGCATCAAAAGGGGCAAAAAAGCGTGGACATCCTTTATTTCTCCCCCTTGACTGCATACGTGACAATTTTGACCCCTCTCGACAGAAACTTAAAAGTCAGTAACTATAAAGTTTGCTCAGAACACAGCCACTTTTGTCCATTTTCTTGTTGTCTACATCTGTTGTTGCATTACAGTGTCAGAGCTGGATAGTTGTGACAGAGACCAAGCCTAAAATATTTACTCTCTGGCCCTTTAACAAAAAAGGATTTGCTGAAGGGGAACATGGCTCAGTGCTTGTCTGGCATGCATAAGCCCTGGTGTTTTATTCCCAACACCACAAAAAAAGAAAAGAAAAAGAAAACCAAAAAAAGCTTATGCCAACCCCCTGAACTGATTCCTAGGCTTTACACTGCTTTATGAGTGCTCCACCCAAATCTCTAGGTCAGATAATAAATTATAAGCAGGAAAACAGGTTTTGATACTTATTTTTATACCAATTACGAAAAGAAAAATACTCATTATAGGAAGGATAATTAAGAGAGGAAAACACTCCCAAGTCTATCTCACCAAATCAACCTCTGACTATACTTTGCTATATTTTCTTCTCATATTTTTTTCTGAGACTTAATATATGTTTTTTTTTTCAATATAAAATAACACATCATCAGTTTTTAAAAGCATACATGTGCCACTTTAAAAAGTCATCCCTAGGGGCTGGGGTTGTGGCTCAGCGGTAGAGCGTTTGCCTAGCACATGAGAGGCACTGGGTTCGATCCTCAGCACCACATTAAAAAAATAAATAAAACAAAGGTATTGTGTCCAACTACAACTAAAAATATATACTTTTTAAAAATGTCATCCTTATTCTTAACTCCTAAGCAGTAACTACTTAGCATTTTTAAAATTTTCCTTTAGTGTTTTTCTACAAGCACAATTGTGTTTTTAATATATGAATCGTCCTCCTATATGTAATTTGACATTATGAGGCCTAGTTTATAAAAATTGTGCACATTTTCCATGTCTCTCTGTTTTAATATATTTATGACTATAGGTATTATAGTCAAGAGTCTATTGCTTTTCTACTTAACCTCACAGTACTACATGCCTGGAAAAATATTCATTCTGACCAGCTATTCTGTTTTTCTGAAAATCTAGATATCATCAGATGCTTAAAGTTTTTACTACCCCAAAAACCAACAGTAAGAAAAAGTGTTGTTTTCTTATTCCAGCCATGATTCTAAAGATTTTTCAAGAGAATAAATATCCTGAAATAATTTCTCTTAGAATTTTATGGGTTTTAAAAATGTTCTGTTTTCAACTCAGATTCACCCCTACATATCTGACTTCTTTCTCTTCTTACATACTGGGGTTTTTTTTTTCTGTTATTTTAAATATGTGCACGATATTTAAAACATTGGTGAACCCACTATAATCATGCAACACGTGTTTCATTTCAGTTAACTACAGATCACATATATGAGGGTGGTCTCATGAGATTAAAATGGAACTGAAAAATTGCTATTGCCTAGTAAGATAGTAGCCAGTGTAACATTGTACCACCTTGCATTTCTCAATTTTTGAGGTGATGCTGTTTTATTTATTTATTTTTGCATTTTCTTCTTTTTTTTTAGATATATATGAAAAGTAGAATGTATATTGTACATACCTGGAGTATAAATTAATCTAATTAGTATCCCATTCTTGTGGTTTTACCTGATGTGGAGTTTCACTGGTGGTGTATTCATATATGAACACAGGAAAGTTATGTCTGATTCATTCTGCTGCCTTTCCTATTCCCATCTCCTCTCCCTTCCCTTCATTTGGGTGATGCTATTTTAAATGAACTTACTGAAGTGCCAGTCATATAAAAGCATAACACATACACTTAGGCATAGTACAGAATACTTGATAATAAATAACTATGTTACTTATTTAGGGGTTTACTATACTATACGTTTTATCCTTAGAGTGTATTTCTACTTATAAAA